TGGACAAGGGACAAACCCATTGCATGATATTATGGCTGTCGATGTAACAGCTCGTGAGATTGGTTATGATGTGGGGAATGGCGAATTAAGTTTAGATAATGGTAGTGCACGGATTACTTGCTGTGATTCAGATTATGAAAATGTTGAGAAGGAAAATAAAAAGGTTCATGAGGAACTGGTCAGAAAAGGGATTAATTTGAGAAAAGGAAGTGGCAGTATGACAAACTTGTTTATAGACTGCCCCGAGTCTCCCCGTGAGGAGTTGGTTCAGAAGGAGGCACTGCAGGAGGTGTGGTCATACCTCACCAACATATCCCTCATATTTAATCATATGAGATACTTCCTGGTGAGTAGTGAATTGGTTTTACATTTGTTACTCACAAAATAATGAACAGATGGTTGTGGACTCTGGTCAAGAGATAATACATTCTTAAACCTAAGAAAAACTGTTGTACAGTACAGTACTGTAGTATTCATATTCTCAAAAAAGAAATATTACAATACTTGTATATACTGTACAGCACTGTACAATATTATTCTTTTATGATTATTCCATTTTAATTTTGTATTGAAAAACTAAAGATGTTTTAAGAGTAATACAGTATACGTACTTGGATAATAGTCATGATACTGAAACATGTAAAACTCTCATCAATACATACAAACTGTAGTTTACTCCTGTTGTATTGATTAGTTGATGGTGATGTTGCTCAAGGTCAGGAAAGTGTATTAATTTACCTGAAGACGATACTTTTTTCAATGCCAATGAAAATTAATTTTTTTATTGTTATAATGTCATGGTACTACAACAGCTGAGTCATTGATGGTAGTGGCTGGAGGGGTGAGCGATTTGGTGGCTTAGATGGATGGATGGCATGAGCAGATGCTCCTGAATGTCATGTATGTAAAGCTTTGATGCTAAGTTTGATGAGACTTTGTAAACTATTTGTACAGTACGTACTTTAAAATTTGAAATATTGCCTGACATTAGAAATTGTTTCCAGTGTAAATTTTAGAAAAATTTCTTAAGACTGTACAGTACAGTACTGTAAATTGGCTTCAGTTCTGCTGTAACTCGTACATTTGGTGAAATTCTCCTTAGAGTTTCTGTACTCTTCATGTACAGTACAGTATACTAGTTATGTACATTTTATTGTTTGAAGAGAATTGGTTACTGTACTTTACTTGTGATGGAAGCAGTCATGCCTGGAGTTGGTTGAGTGATGTAATAGGGAGGATTAAACTAGTGTACACCTGGGGAAATCTCACATCCTCTGAGGCTGCTGCCAAGCCCAAAGGATGTCGTACAGTATCACTCTCCGGAGGTGGGGGAGATAATGCATGCTTAAGGTCTCTACCTGTACCTTTGATGGAATATTCTTTGAGATGAATTACAATCACTGATCAGCCTGTGAATATGCAGACTCAAAACAAGTTTGCCATGATAATTGTAAAAGATTTAAAGGTAGAAACTATAGTAGACAACAGGGTGTCAACATTTGTGGGATGATATTACAAGCGTCACCTTACAGTTTAAGGAGCGTGTTCATTATAATTTTACAAAGCGTTAGTAACAAATTGAGGTGTGTGTTTGTGTGTGGGGCACAGTTTCCTTTGTATCATGTAAGGCGTTAATTACTGTCTTATCTAAACCTTACTAAGTGATGATAAGGTTTGTAATGATGCTATTCTTTTATAGTTTGTGAACATACCCATTTATATTACAGTGTCTAAAGGGAAATAAATTTTTTATCCTGTTAAATGATAGTAAAACGCCCTTGTAGAAGATATTACGATCGAGTCCAACAGCAGTGCCACACTCCACATAGGCTAATGGTGGATTTAGAGAAGTCTCTCCTTAAGTATGTTTAGAGGGAGGTTTTCTTTGGCGCGTTTTCTTTGTCTAGGAGTCGGTCAACAGGTTATTTAAGTGCGTAACTTAACTAATTTCTGTATGTTTGAGTTCTCTGTTTATATTCATGATCTTCAAAAAGTCTATCAATGAAGGAAAGTTACCCTTATCCATTTTATATTTTTTGTTATTTATATACATATATATATATATATATATATATATATATATATATATATATATATATATATATATATATATATATATATATATATATATATATATATATATATATATATATATATATATATATATATATTTTGCTGCTCGAGTTAGGGAAGTACTCACGAGGTGTATGAAATCACTGGAAATTAAATTGCTGATGGATTTCTTAATTTTATTTTTATTTATCATTTCACCACTTATCAGCTTACTAGCCGTTTGATCTGTCTTTTTTAATGTATTAATATGAACGATTTTTGTCCAGTGTTATTTTTATTGTGTTGTCCTTGTGAGATATCGATATTTGTTATTTAAAATAATGTCATACAAGTCTACAGTAAAATTTGAACAAGAAAACCTTTGGGTGTTTCTCGTCACTGGGATCCTTGGTTGAATCGACTTTATGCTTGTATATACCAGTGTCAGCTTGTGTGGTGATTTTATTGAGTCTATCTGTCTGTCTTCGTGTGCTAGACAATACGAAGGACTAGTCTTGTACCGACCTTGTTCTTGATTACAGTACACTTAGAAGTACAGATATCTCCTATTAAAGAAAAGTTGTAATTACTGTAATGTAAAAAAATTGATCTAAAAGGGATTTTATAATTAATATTAAAAAAAATATGAATAAAATAATTTAAACTGGATTATGGTAACACGAATTATCGAGAGGAAGTTACCGGGGAATAACACACATTAGGTGATAAGAGAACTATGTAACATGAACCTTGGTAATGTAATAACGTTCATTGACGGTATAACTAACCATGGTAACGCAATACCTTTTGATGATTATTACACAATAACCATAGTATACTGGAGTAACTTTAGATAACGAAATCCCAGAGTAACATTTTGTGGTGACTTATTAACTGTGGCCTAATAGTGTTGTGACGTTTAACTGTGACGTATAAGTCGGTTTATAGCCAAACTGCCCCTTGTATAATTTATGGATTGTGCGTTAGAGCAAATAAAACTCGTTTGGATAATTTCAAACATAACACGATTCATTGAGTAAGGTTGTCCACCAATCATCGCCTTTTTTAGAACTGACGTCACGCCTTCCACCAATCACCTCCTTTCTATTACAATGACGTCACGCTTTCCACCAGTTATTGTTGACCATAATGACGTAATAATGTCCATTAATCAGTTTGTTTATCATATCGTAATGACGTAATTTCACTCGCCAATCACTGACAGGTTACTATGATGACGTAATCTAGTAGACTACTTTCTGCTTATCATGATGACATAACCCTGTCCACCAATCACTGTCTGCTTACCACCAATCACTATCAACAATAATGACGTTGCAAGAGTCACGTTATGCCCAGTCCACCAACCAAAGGCGTCTTATTGGAGGAATCCCGTGACCCAGCCCACCAATCAGAGGGGTTTAGGAGGCGGGGTCGACCAATGAGGGCGTCTTTGCCTTTGCTCATTACCTGAGACGAAAAATAACCCAGGTTGAGAATAGAACTAAATTTGTGGGTGGGTGGAGGAGTGATTGTGGAGTGGTGGTGAACTGGTGGTATTGTAGTGGTTGTGGTGAACTGGTAGTATTGTAGTGGTTGATGGATGGATGGATGATGTATGTAGCTGTGTGTGTGTGTGTGTGTGTGTGTGTGTGTTGTGTGTGTGTGTTTTAATATATCGTGGTGGTTGCCGTGATCAGCGATGGTGGTGGTTGTGGTGATAGTGGTGTTGGTAATAGTATTTGTGGTGGTGGTGGTGGAGGTTGTGGTGATAGTGTTATCAACTGTGAGATAAAAAGATAAACATTACTGGTTACGTTATCACATGTACTAACGCTCTTTAAAGATAGCCCTCTCTCTCTCTCCCCCCTCCCTCTCTCCCTCTCTCTCCTCCCTCTCTCCCCGTGTGACTATGACAAAACGCGCGCCACCAGGTAGAGCCGAGTGTGTTTACCGTGACAAACACCACGTGACAAATACTGTTATCTACCATATGATAAACACACAAGCTCGCATGACAGGTCTGTGGAGTATGCATGACAGGTATTAGGTGATATGACAGCTGTTTACGGGACATGACAGGTATTAGGGCATATGACGTGTTTAGGGGTATATGACAGCTGGGAAGACAGGCATATGACGACTGTTTACGGAAAGTGACTATTTTGAAGAGGAATTATCACAAGGGACTGTTGTACCTCACACAGAGACTAAGTGTGGTGGTGAGAGGTTAAGTAGTGGTGGTGGTGAGAGGTTAAGTAGTGGTGGTGGTGAGAGGTTAAGTAGTGGTGGTATATGGGAGGTTAAGTAGTGGTGGTGGTGAGAGGTTAAGTAGTGGTGGTGGTGAGAGGTTACAGTGGTGGTATATGGGAGGGGTTAAGTAGTGGTGGTGAGAGGTTAAGTAGTGGTGGTGAGAGGTTAAGTAGGGTGGTGGGTGAGAGGTTAAGTAGTGGTGGGTATAAGTGGGAGGTTGGTAGTGTGGTGGTGGGTGGGAGAGGTTAAGTAGGGTGAGGTTAAGAGTAGTGGTGGTGAGAGGTTAAGTAGTAGTGGTGGTGAGAGGTTGTTAGTAGTGGTGGTAGGAGAGGTTATAGGTGGTGGGTGAGGTTAAGTAGTGGTGGTGGTGAGGTTAAGTAGTGGTGGTGAGAGGTTAAGTAGTAGTGGGTGGTGGTGAGAGCAAGTAGTGGTGGTGGTGAGAGGTTAAGTAGTGGGGTGAGAGGTTATGCAGGTAGGAGAGGTTAAGTAGTGGTGGTATATGGGAGGTTGTAGTAAGTAAGGTTGAATGATGGTGGTGGTTGTGAAATTTGTTGATTGATGGTTGTGGGTGAGGCGAGGCGAGGTAGAGTGAGAGATGTATTTGGGGTGTTAGAATCAAGGTGAAGTACTTGGGGGGTAATAAGACTGGTGATTGGAGTCGTGAGTAGTTAGTGGTAGTTGTTACTGGTACTCACCTTGCTGGGGGGGTGATGAAACTCTGTAGGTGGTGGACGGTGTTACTGATGGTGCTGGTAGCGCTACTGCCTCTGTCAGGTAGGGGGGGCCTAGGCTGACCTCAGACAAGCCCCCAGCTTCACCAGCCCTTACCAGCCCCACCCCTTGGTCTTGGGACTCACTGCTGGCCTCTTCACGCTGCGCCGAACATTCTCCCAGGATACGCCCCGTCACGCCCCTTGGAATACACTCCCAGAGCTACATGTCACATCTCCACCCCGCCCTTGCTCTAGCCCGTTTGTGGTGATAGTAAGTTACCCCAGGACACGCCGCGCTCCGCCCCACCCCACCCTGCGCCCCGTCACGACGCCCTGTCAGTAGCACACTGGAGGCGGTGGTGTTGCACTGTGGCAGTGACAGGTGAACCTGCCCACCCACCACCCTGCTCCTCCTCCCTCTCCCTCACGCTGGTGCCCCTCCCCCTCACGTTGGTGCCCTCCCCCTCCGTGGCGTCCTATCGTGCTCTGCCACTATCTTATCTTGTGTTCGACCCCTGCTGTGCAACCCCCTCCTCCTCCTTCCCTTCCTACTCCTCCACACATTTCTCTCTCTTATCTCCCCTTACTTTCTTCTCCCTTATCCTCTTTGTCTTTCCTTCCCCATCCCCCCCCCTCCCCCACCCTCTCCCTCTCGTCCTCCCCCTCTACAGCATGCCATCTCCATTCTTCTCTTCCTTCCTTCCCTCCTTTTCTCCTTCCCCCTCCCCTCCTTCCTTTCCCCTTCCCCCTCTCCTCTCACTTCTCTCTCCTTCCTCCTCCTTCCCTCTCCTTCCCTTCCCTCTCCCCCTCCTTCCCCCTCTCCTTCCTTCCCTCTCCCTCCTCCTTCCCTCTCTCCCTCCTCCTTCCCTCTCTCCTTCCTCACTTCTCTCTCCCCTCCTCCTCGTCCAGCTGTGTTATCGTGTATTATTCCCTTGACCCCCATCGCCCCCCACCGTGTGATCTTGCTGCCTCCCACACCTGCACCACCTCTGTACACACCTGCTCCTGTGGTGTGGTGTTGCTGGTGGGTGATAATGTTGGTGGCTGATTACATTGTTGCTCGTCGGTGATTGATTGATAGTGGTAATAGAGTTGTGATGGTGGTAGTGGTGGTAGGAGGGATGATATGATGGTGGTTGGTTGTGGTGATTGTGGTAGGGATGCTGTGATGGTTGGTGGTGATGGTGGTTGGTTGTGGTGATTGTGGTAGGGATGCTGTGATGGTTGGTGGTGATGGTGGTTGTATCAGACAAGGGGGACTGAGTGTGGTGGCGGTGGGGACTTGTTGTGACGGGAGGCATCTTACACTGTGTTCTTACCTTGGTCAATATATCCTGTGTGCAATTTCCTGTTTCTCTCTCCTCCCCACCAGCACCCATCATCTTCCTCTCCTCCCTTCCCCTCTCTTCTGTGTCCAATCCTTCCCCCCACCTTTTACTCTCCCGTATTTCTTGTCTTCTCTCTCCCCTTCCCCCTTTTTCCCTCACCACCGTCTTTCCTCACAACCTTTGTCTCCCAGGCTTCTTTGTCCACCCCGTAGTGAGTGCCGCTGCTGGCGAACATTCGTCTGCTGTGGCTCTCGTAAGGGTGTTGTTGTGATGTGGAGAACTCCTGGCTTCGCTGATGGCCAGTGCTGGTGATGTCTCTGTAGCTCGGGTCCATTGGCGTCTTATTGCAGGAGGGAAGGGAACGCCAGGCGATTGTTAATTGCTGGTGCTGGCGATGTGCTTATGGCAGGGATCCCGCGTGTGCCTCTTACCCAAGCGCTCTCACGTCTCTGTACTAACAAGGCAAAATTCCTGTGTTTTTGCCTCTGTTGACCGAGTTCCCGCTAATTGACCCTCAGCCAGCGTGGTGAGGGTGGCCCGGCTCGGTCCAGTGGGCACGTGTTCCCTAGTAATGTGTGAGTTCAAGAAGTAGCTACTGTACGTGTCTCTCCTATGAAACTACGCGTATGTTAATGGTTAGATTTAATAGATTTTGAATACAATTGTAGACATAATTCCTTGGAGACTTGTGGCAAATTCGGGCATTGTTTACACTTAGTTATCATGAAAGTAAACATATTGATAATTTATATTACCTTTTATATTTTTCGTTAGTGTTGTTGTGACAGTTTACAGAGAGCATCATCGTTCACCAGCTATTAACCCATCACACAAGACGCCAGATAAGTGCCAAGTGTCTAAGGAGGGATTTTGGCCACAGCTCCCCGTGTGAGTCATGGTTGAGGCGCCGCTTATTATATTCAAAGCTGTGTTAATAAATATCACGTACAGTCAAATACTAAAAAAAATCCGTTCGTCTCTCCCTCCTGAAACCACGAACCCCGAGATAGAGCCTCATGAATCCGAAGCATTTATGAATAGGATAATGTATCAGGGTTCGGGTTCACGAATCTGAATCCCCGGGGTTCGTGGGTTCAGGTATAGGAGGGACGGATTTGTAGTATAGTTGAGTGTACGTTTGTGTCGTGTGTATACGGATTGACGTATTTTGAGACGTTTATGATATAGGAGGAATACCTTATACAGTTAGTTAGTACATAAGTTTGTATCGTGGGGTTTTAGGTAGACACAGCTTATTATGGTGTGTATGTGGGTTAAGTCACGTGCTGTTTTTATACTGTGAATATACACAAGTTGTTCTGTCTGTATAGTTTAGATATGGTCTTAGTAGTATAGGGGTGAGGAGAAGTGTGTGTGTGTGTGTGTGTGTGTGTGTGTGTGTGTGTGTGTGTGTGTGTCCTTATATGGTCCGTCCCTGTCTCGCTCTTAAGTTATTAGTAGCATGCGCCTTCCCCGCCCGAAAGCCCACCCACCCCTATTATCATACCCCCTGAATGTGTATTGTGCGTATCTACCTGCCTGTGTGTGTGTGTAGAGAGAAAGAATTAGAGACGTGAGTGCTGCCTGCGTGCTTACGGGGACACACACACACACCTTGGGAATGTTATGAAGGAAAACATTGAAGGTATAATCTCGAGTTTGTTCATCAGATATCGCTGAGAGAGAGAGAGAGAGAGAGAGAGAGAGAGAGAGAGAGAGAGAGCAATGGCCATCCTGGCCTACAGAACTTCCTGAAAGGGTGTTATGTAATTATCTCTCTCTCTGGTGGGTGCCATAAGATAGCCGTGGGTCGGTGATCCAAATATTCATCACTGGCCTTGTATCGTGTCTCATACTCTCTCGTAACAGAAGCAGTCTAGATATAGTTTGTTTGTTTGCACGAGTTACCTAAGGTGGTGATGGTGGGGGATGATTCTTACCCCCTCATCTTGTTTACTGTCCTCTTCTGTTTACTTTCTCGGAGCTTCTCTTTCCTCATCAGTGGCGTCCTGTTTACATACTCCTGGGTTTCTCCCATGTTTACACCTGGGGCTCTCACCTGTGCGGAGTGTTGTTATTATGAAGGGGCTCCAGGTGTACAGGTGGAGTCCATATGGGAGAGAGAGAGAGAGAGAGACCTTTGATATTTGATGTTATGGAGAAAAGACACGCTGACTTGTTTATGTGTGAGGGGGGGAGGGAGATGTGAGGGAGGAGAATGATGGAGTAGAATAAACCAAGATCAAAGGAGATGAATCTGGCGGGAGGGAGAGGAGGAACAGGGAGGGAGAGACAGAAGGGAGGAGGAGGGGGGAAGAGAGGAGGAGGAGGGAGGAGAGGGCAGATTAGAAAGGGGGAGGGGGTAAGATTGCCCTCCCAGGGATTACAGCAAGAAATCTTGATTAAGGTGAGTGATGGTCGGTGTTATATCAGGGTTGTGAGGGGTGTTCTGGCCACTAGTCTTCCTCATCCTGTGTCTTCCTCACCTCTCATCCTCCTCATCTCACCCCTCACCCTTGTCTTCCTCATCCTATGTCTTCCTCACCACTCATCCCTCCTCACCTCACATCTCCTCATCTCCTCCTCCTCACCTCCATCCTCACCTCATCCTCCTTATCTCACGGTCTCCTCACCCACGCCTCCATGACTCACACACACACACACACACACACACACACACACACACACACACACACACAGCACGGCGTGTTAGAGTGGGCAGTAAAATACCAGCACTATTAACTGTCGACTCAGGCACGTAGGTCCTGACGTGTGTGTGTGTGTGTGTGTGTGTGTGTGTGTGTGTGTGTGTGTGTGTGTGTGTGTGTGTGTGTGTGTGTGTGTGTGTGTGTGTGTGTGTGTGTGTGTGTGTGTGTGTGTGTGTGACCACTTGTATTTTATGACACGTTTCCGAAGGTCTTCATTTATACCACACCGTTGTTCTGTACTGTACCACCTCTCACCGGATAACCCCCACCACCCCCCCCCATCACCTCCTTCTCAGTAGAGCATCGAACCCTGGAGTTTGTTACGTAGGATGTCCACACACACACACCCTCCATCCTTCCTCCTCCCCTCACTCAGTGGCGAATGTTCTGTTAGGTCAACGTTACATGTGTGTGTGGGGGGGCTGGGGTGTCACTTCTATGTCCGGTGGGATGGATGGAATGGGATAGTGATGGATGGGGTGGGATGGGTGATCACCGATACCAGGTGTCACGAACGCCCATAAGCTTGTCATAACCACAGGGTCAGTTGGCCTCTGATCAATATATCCTGCCCACCACCCCTGCCCACCTCCCCTGCCCACCACCCTCCTCACCCACCACCCTCCCACCACCCCCCCTCATCCACCCTCCCTCCCACCCAGCCACTCCCCCCACCCACCCAGCCCATCCACCTTGCCCACCCTCCTGCCCACCACCTCCTCACCCACCCACCACCACCCCTCATCCACCCTCCTCCCCACTCCAGCCACCCCTCCCACTCCTGCCCCTGCCCACCCCCCATCTCCCCAGTGCTCACGTTCCCACCATCCCCTCTCCTTCTTCCTCCTCCTCCTCTCCTCCTCTCTTTCTCCTCCTCCTCCTCCTCCTCCCCTCCATCGGACCCAGTTCCACCTCCCTCACCCCCTCCTTTTCCTCTGACCTCTGTTTGTTGTTTGAAAATTGGGTCATGACTGCTGACGGGTGCGTCATGGAGTGTGTGTGTGTGTGTGTGTGTGTGTGTGTGTGTGTGTG